ATGCTGATCCCCTTGCGGTTTAAAAAGCACCTAGATCGCAAAACGGCTCCGCACAGGTTGTTGATGGTTCCCTCCACCAGGGTGGTTCGCGCAAAAAATTTGGTTTATGCGCAGACTTTGGTTGCAAGCGATGGACAACATTTTATTCAGGTCCTGAATGTTTGTCCGGACGCATCGGTGATTCAAGAGGGCACTGTCTTAGCTCACGCGTCGGCCACAGATGGCGTTCATAACAACGGCAGGAATATAGGTGTTGCAGTGGCTGCGGGGAAGGGTGAGGACATTGACGAGGCATGGTTAAACACGCTCTGTTCCGAGAGCAAGGACCTGTCTGATGCACAGAGGCTCGAGCTGCATGCACTCTTATTGGAATTTTCCGATGTATTTAGTAAATCCAAATTCGACATTGGCTGCACGCATTTATTGCGCCATCACATTGACATGGGAGATTCGGGCCCAATTCATCAAAACCCATACTGCCTGAGTCCTGCGGAGAAGGACCATGTGCACCGCGCGGTGGATGAAATTCTGGCCGCAGACATTACCGGTCCCTCCAACAGTCCATGGGGTGCACCCATCGTTCTTGTAAAAAAACAGGACGGTAGTTTGAGGTTCTGCTGGACTTCCACAATCTCAATAAAGTCTCCGTGGTGGATGCGTACCCACTCCCGCGGATGGACGACTCGCTAGACGCGTTGTCAAGGGCGCGGTTTTTCTCCACACTCGATTTGCTGTCGTTATTTTGGCAGTTGCCCTTAGATGGCAGCTCTAGGCCAAAGACTGCATTTCGCACGCCCCAGGGTCTTTTCAAGTTCAACTGGCTCCCGATGGGATTGCACTCAGCCCTGGCCACATTCCACCGGATGATGGAGCTAGTGCTAGTGGGCCTACAATGGAATGCGTGTTTGATTTATCTCAACAATGTCATCGTGTTTGGACGCATGTTCGAGGAGCACCTGCAGAGGTTGCGGGCTCTTTTCCTCAAAATGCGAGAGGCTAAATTGACGTTTAAGCCACAGAAGTGCCATCTGCTGCAGAGATCGGTCAAATACCTAGGCCATATTGTCGGTGAATCCGGGATTGACGGATCCTGACAAAACTGCATGCGTGCGCACGTGGCCAATCCCTAAGTCGGCGGGTGAGGTACGTAGTTTTGTCGGGTTCTTCATCCCCGGGTTCGCCACGATCGCAAAGCCGCTCTATGTCCTCACGGCCAAGGGCCAGAAATTTCGGTGGGGGGCAGAGGAGGCGGCTGTGTTTGCCGCGCTGTGCAACAGCCTGGTCAACGCGCCTCCACTTCGGTACCGATTTTTCTTTGCCCTTCGTCCTCGATACTGACGCAATACTAGTGTAGTGGCATCGGGGAATGCCACTGCATGTCACGTAAGGCCGGCCTGTGTGTGAAGCAGGAGACATGATGCTCACACCACCTACAGCACGGCAGTCTGGAGCGGCGCAGGGGTGACAGGGGGCCATGGAATTCCGGATGAACCCGGAGGGCTAGTGGCCAGAGGTACCGAGGGTGGGGACCCCAAAGAGGGGGCTGGGGGACCCCGAGACCGGTTCCAGAGGCCTCTGGAAGGTTCGAGAAGGGAGGCGTGTCTAGGGGCGGAGGAAGCCCCAGGATAGACTATATAAGCCGGACCCCTGAACAGGTCTGGCTGCTGTTGTTCATCTGAAGACATGAAGCCGTCCTCCTGAAGAAGAAGCCCCAAAGACAAGACCCAGACTCGAGTCGGGGTCCAGGCTTGACAGCCTCCCCCAGTTGTGTTAGGGCCAGTCAGCCCGGAGGGACTACCTCCCTAGGTTACCTGGTGGAAGGGGCAGCTACCCCTTTGTGTTAGAGTGTCTTGTTATAATAAACGTGTTGCCTCCAGAGAAGCCTTGCTCTCCATTTGTACCCACTACACTGGCATTGGCGCCGTTTCGTCGCAGGTGGTGGACAGAGTAGAGTGTGTGGTCGCATACGGCAGTAGGGTGCTTTCTCCGACGGAGCAAGGCTATTGTGTTACACGACGTGAGTTGCTGGCGATTGTTTATTTCGTTCAGCAGTACCGGCCGTACCTCTACGGGCGGAAATTCCAGGTGTGATCAGGCCACGCGGCCTTGCAGTACGCGCTGCGTGTTGAGCAGCCGTCCGGCCAGCTGGCTCGAGGTCCTTTAGGACTATGCGCATTCAAGGTCTCGTATAGCAAGGGCGTCCGCCACTCAAATACTGACGCATTGTCACGTCTGCCAACCGGTGACGAGTGCGCATGCACATCGGCGCGGGACGGTGCAGGCCCGCCGATTCGGCTCCGCCCCATGAGGTCATCGCTGCAGCCGATGTTGCGCACACGGACGCAGCTGACGCATGCGACCACACACCCGGTCTCTCCAACTCCAAGTGGGGGCGACTCCAGGCCGAGGACGACTTCTTGTTAGCCATCAGACGCCGGGTTCGCCACTCCGCAGAGGGCGACAGCCGACGACCGTTAGCCAGGGTCATTCTGAGAGGGGGCCTCCTCATGTGCTGGGACACAAAATTACTCAAGTATAACGTCGTGGTTCCCACCATCCTGTGGGGTAGATTGGTTTGGGCAATGCCCAAACGTCTTGTGCATTTAGGGGTCGCGAAAACCCTGTGCACCCTCCGCCTGAACTTCTTCTGGCCCAGCATGGCGGCGGGTGTCCAAAATGTGCTTAAAGGGTGCACCGCATATGCCCGCCGGAAACCTCCACCGAAATTGGGATGCTCCCCTCTCCAATCCGTTTGTGTATTGCACGTGAATGAGCTCGTCACGCTCAATATGCTTGTTACCCCACCCCGCGGGGTAACAAGCACCTGCTCGTGAGGTTAGAGTATCTTTCTTGGTGGCCGATGCCGGACCAGTCGGCAGCCACCATTACGGATGCCTTTCTCCATGGGTATATTCTGGATAAGGGGGCCCCAGGATGCCTCTTTACGGACCAGGACAGAAAATTTTCGTCAAAACTGCTTAAGGAGGTGTGTGATCTATTGGGCACTAAAATATCCACACCTCGCTCTCTCATCCACAGACCGATGGCATGGTAGAGCGCCTACATAGGACGCTCACATCCATGCTATGCCATCAGGTCAAAGAAAAACAGACCGACTGGGACTTGCATGTTCCAGGGGTCCTGGCCGCATATAGATTGGCCCCACATGCGTCCACCGGCTACTCACCTTTTTTTCTTATGTATGGAAGGGAGCAAGATCCGCCCATTGACACACAGCTAAATCCGGATCTGGCTCAAAAGAAGCTGCCCGACCCCATACGAGTTACCCTCCAGCACCTGTGGGAGGCTAGAGAGGCCTCCCGCAGGAACTCGGCTTTGAAGCAAGCAGTCAATGACTGCCCGGAAGACTGGGACCAAATGGGCAGTCGGGGACAGGGCGTGGCTTCATTGCTCCCAGGTTCCTGTAGGGACATCCCCTAATCTCTACAAACCGTGGTGGGGGTCCGTGGAGATCGAGGTAAAAAGCCCATAGAGCGTCCGCATACAATTCGGTCGAAGGCGCTGGTTTGTACATGCGTCGCGCCTCAAACCGTTTTGTCCACCGGACGACGCTCATTCATCTCAAATCCCTGGGGGCTGTGTGTCCAGTGTCCCTGACTAGCCAGGGTGCGCGTCCACGGGAACGACGCCTCGATGCTCTGCTTCTTCCCCCTCAGGATCCCAGCTACTGCGGCCTGGGGAGCTGCCGACCTTATCGCCAATTTCGGCGCAAGTCAGGGGCGGACAACCATCGTCAGGTCCTTCCTCTCCAGTCGGGCAGTCTTCTCCTTCACCACCTGGAGAGGGGCCGCAGGCCTCGGGCCAGCCTTGTCATATGCCGGAACCACCCGCCGAGGCCTCCCCTAACCTGGCTGGGGGCCCGGCAACGAGGACCCACTCGAAAACTGGCCGCTTTCGTTAACTCTCGCTGGCACGCCGACATTTACGCACACCATCGGCAGGCAGCCTCGCTCGCGAGCCGGGGGGGGGGGGGGGGGCGGGGGCTGACTGTCAGGAGGGCGAATCACCCCTTAAGTTTGCCGTCGTTTCTTCTTCTTTTATCTCACGGCTCTTGTGTTGTGTTGTTGGGGTCGCGTCGTTCAGGGTTATTTTTACGCTTACCGTTCACGTTACATTGTGGGCCGCGCCATGCTGAGAAATTGGCGGTGTGACGAGTTGAGGTTTGTTTGTTTTTGGAAAAAATATTTTCTCCTACGCCCTTTTTCAGGAGGTATTTTTGGGTTGTCGGAAATTTGTCTCTACTCTTTCTATTTGGGGTTTCACAGCCGGGTCGGCTGAAATTTTATAAAGTGGGGGGTAGTGTAGAGACACAGTTAGAGGTCTCTGGGTGTCGCGCCTGCCACAGTGCTGGAGGGGCGCCGAGCGCCAGGTGCCTCGATTAGTGGAGTTAAGGGCACGTGAGCAGAAGCAGGGAGCTCCGATTGGTGGAGTTAAGAACACGTGACCGGAAGCGGGGAGCTCCGGCCTTGATGCAGCAAGGGGCGTGGCCGAAGGCGGGGCGGAGGCGTGGCCAGGGGATAAAGGGGGAGCGCCAAGAGGATTCGGTGCTTGTTTTGGGGATCAAGCTAGCTAACAGACACGCACATAGTGAGCAGCCTAGGACAAGTTAGCCACAATCTATAGTTGTGATTTAGTTTAGTTTATTTTATACCTACGTGACTTTACCGAAAGAACCAAAGAGTAAGTTAGCCACACTTAACAACAGAATCCGGTGTTTAGTGATTTGTTTAATAAACGCGTTGCCTCCTACAACAGTGTGTGTGCGCCTCAATGGACATACACTACAACTGTTTAAGTACTGGAAATGGGAGAAAAGTACCGCATCAATGCTCATTAAAACAGCAACTCTCATCGAGTTGCGTTAAACAGAGTTCAATGCTTTTGAAAACCAAGAGCAATGACATCGACTGGCAAGCCCAGTGCTCACCAGTGATAGTGCATCGCAGCACCACAGCACATCTCAATGGTACCATTCATACCTGAATGTATAGCAGGTTCAGACCCACTATGCTTTCCATGATGTCATCATCATATGCCGTGTCCCAATAGCTGCAATAGTAGGGTGTGTGCATGCACAGAGATGAAAATAAAACTCAGTTACAGGAAATCATGTGTCCCACTCCTCAGGTTTTATTTTTACAGGTGTCTGCGTTAAAACGCACGTCCACTGTACTGTCTCTTGTAACACATCGACAAAATATGTGCATGTTAATGAACATCATGCCTTACCTTTTATAGTGTTGCATAGCTATTGGAAAAACGAGGTTAAAATGGAACATGTATCGCCCTGGTGTGTCATGATTTGCACCATAATTATGACAAATGTAAACACGTCTGTGCGCCATGTGCGTGAGGCTCGCTGTGCGCACAGTCAAAAGTACCGCATGCGGCAGGATGCATTTATTATGATTCAATCCCCCTGTGAGTAACCGAATTATTATACTTTAGAAGTTCCGATTAAAGAATTGTATTCATTGCTATCTTATTTGTATACTTTATTTTAAAAAATACTTTAAAAAGTACAACAGGTTGCAAGGGTCAGCATCTCCTTTCTGAAATAGGAAAGACGGTATTCGCCTGCAACTTTGGCACCAGGCCAACAGTTGCTATGTTTCCCCACAGTGGAGGTAGGTCTCAAGAGAACAACTCCATAAAGTATCGCTCATGTATTGACTCTAGAGAGATGAGATAATAGACCAATTTGACCCTCAGCTAGGCACTGAACCCACTACCTACCACTCGTGAGTCTAGTGCACAGCACAGTGCTGAACAGCTCGAAACACACGTTAAAAGAACAAATATTCATGTCTGTGGAATATTAGGCATCATTTAGTTGTAATATTCTTGGGTCTTTAGTTAAAGTCACGTAGATAGGTAAAAAAAAATAACAAAAAACTACGACGTTTCGATCGCAACACAAGCGTTCGTGATAAGGAAGAAAAAAGAGGGGGAAAGCTGCTGAGGCAGACTGTTTTAAAGGTTTAAAATGGGTGGAGCCCAAGGGTCATAAACGAAGTGGGTGTGAGAAATTACATTAACATGATAAATTACATTAACATGATAATTTCTCACATTAACATCATTAGCCCCGCCCACTTCATTTATGACCCTTGGGCTACACCCATTTTAAACCTTTAAAACAGTCTCCCTCAGCAGCTTTCCCCCTCTTTTTTCTTCCTAATGAAGATCGCTTGCGTTGCGATTGAAACGTCGTAGTTTTTTGTTATTTTTTTGTTATTTTCTTTGAACCTATCTATGTGACTTTACCTAAAAGACCCAAGAATATGAATTCCTGCAGTCACAAAAACTTTAAGTCAAGATTTGACATTTGTAATGTATCAGTCATCCAAACAAGGTTTGTTTGATCAAAGTGTTAAAACAAGTGTGATGAATAGTTTTAAAATGTACAGGAACATAGAAACTTGCCTTTTCCGGAGAACTATTTTATAGTCCAAGCTCTGGAGGCTTGTGACAGAGATGTATGGCAGCTCAAACTCCTGCAGCCGGCGGATGACTGGTATAAGCACACACGTGCATACACACAATACACATAAGCACATGTTAAAAACATACGTACCAGTTGCTGTACGGATTACCCAGGTATAGAGGACACGCATCCCTCCTCTGTGTTGATAACGTCCGTAGTATATTCTTGGTTCTTTCGGTAAAGTCACGTTGAAGGGAAACAATAAAATAATATATATAAAACAATAAAATTATCACGTTTATTGTTTTATATATATTTTATTATTTTATTGTTTCCCTTCAACATGACTTTACCAAAAGAACCAAGAATATTAATCACTGCAGTCACGAAAGCTTCAAATCAAAACGTCCGTAGTCTTCATGAAATGCCTACTCCTTTACGAGACCCACGCTTCCATGTACGACACAAGCAACTCCTCTTAAGTATCACATGGTCACATAATCCCCATTAATTTACCAAACAATTTCTCAAAACAGGTCTCAGGAACCATCGAGTCAATCAGGGCAATGGAAACATTTGGCGGGAGGCAGTGGCAATTCACAAGGTGTCCACATAGCACAGCTAATCGCCAGCAATTAGCCGCTGTTGATGCTTCGGATATCTATTGTTGGCGGCTAGTTTAAGGCACAGATGTGAAGTGAACTTGAAGGACAGTACAAATTTGTAAATTCAACATACTGAGTGTTGGGAAGCGATCTGGTGTGGGTTTCTACTTTTGTGTTACAGGTCAGGCAAGTTCAAGTAGCTGGAGAGTGCACACTCCAAAAATATCGTTCTGCAAAGACTTTTAGCTAAAGCAAAAGAACCCGACTGGATCATTACGTTTACACAAAGTGCTGCCAACATCTACAAGAGTTTCCAGACACTGGACTCCTGAGTCTAATTTATTAATCTCCTGGGCAGGCACTGAGAGCTGTCACTGACTTCATAGCACCCGTGCCACCCAAAACAATCACGCCCTTCCGAGTACCGATGAGCAACATCCATATCAACGAGCACTAAGTGTATCACTGTGTGCGAGAGCGGTGTCTATGGTGGTGAGTGACTGACAGGAGAACGCTCCGCCTCCCCGGTCACGAACCAGGAACAGCGCAAAGTAATGGACCAGCTCCTCTGGGAGCTCCAGCTTGGCAGCCACCGCCTGCACACAACACACGCCGGCAGATGTGCTACGTGACCAACGTGCAATGTATCAGAGAACTCCCATTCTCATGTGTGCTACGTGCTACGTGACCAACGTGCAATGTATCAGAGAACTCCCATTCTCAGGAAGCCACACCAAAGACAGACTTTTGAGGCAAGTGCTTTTAGCGTGCACCTATGAAGGCCGGCATGGTGCACGAGGGGTGGGTGGCCAACACCATGCCGGTCCACCTTTGTCTCCCCAGTGCTGATGTTTAAATACTGTACCAGATGCTCATTTTAGGCTGAATCGACCTAGGGGAGGACCAGGACCGTTTCAGATAATCATCACTAGTTTTGGCCATGAGCAGGAATTAAACTAGAGTTGTCGGGTTCGTAGTGCAGCGCGCTAAATACCACCACCTCTAAAACACCACCACCATGCATATACAGTACCAGCAACATTCGGTCTATTAAACCACAGGGTAATGGTAAAAAAAAACAGAATGAATATTCAGTTTATTAGTCTTTTTCAAATGGTGATTTGTCTGGGGGAAAAAATAACAATTGCCATGCAACTATTGATTAATTATTTAATAAGAATTGGAGAAGTGTGTCTAACCAATGATGACAGCAAAACTGCAATGGGACCTACATGAACAGCCCAACATTACTCATGTTTCAAAGTAAACTAAGCCCAGACACTAATCCCACTGAAGCTTCATGTTCAACTCGACACTAAACCAGCCTAAGTCTAACAATACCGGTAACTCTAACACCATACCTAAGCTTAACCTAAAGACAAATCATAAGCTTGACCCTAACTCCCCAAGCTTAACCTCAAATAGGAGCCGTGACTGGGTGCCCTACCTCAAGGATGTCGTCGGTTTGATGAGTGCTCTCCACATGAACAGACACCATCTGCCCATTGGCCAGCAGCACCTGGAGCTGCACTGCCTGCGAGGGCACCTGCTGCGTGTCCTGTATTGAACAACACAACTATATCACTGCAGTGCTTGTGCCAGGCTATGTGCTCCTTGAGACCACATGAATTGTCAAAGGTGGAGCACCATCAATGCCGCCATCAACACCACCTTCACTTCACAATGCAGCATTCATCACCAACTGCAGCAGGCACTGTGTGACCGCGTATACATATCGATTATTATAAAGCAGTGGAGTTACCTGTTGAGCTTTCCTCAAGAAGCTGTGGAATACCTCACTGGTGCCCAGCACTGGGTCCTGGCTCACTGCAAACAAACCACAAAACTTTGCACATACAACAGAAATGCACGGATGTGGATGGTTGTGCATTCAAACAACACATCATTGAGCCACACATAAAAGCACATATCAACAATCTGAAATCACCATCATTGTGTGCAGACTGCTAAACAGAAAACGTGACACAACTTCAAGTAGTGCGCAATGATTAACAAAAATAAACGATGACGCTTCGTACTCAATGCAACCAGGCAGCCAAGCACCAGAGCAAGCCGTTCGCAATCAGGTTACAAAATTATAATCCTGGTAGGGGGTTGATTCAGTCCATCATCATCCATTCGGATCAATAAAAATTAGTACCATTTTGTGGGGAAGTCAACAGTGGTTGTCCTATGGATACTCACCCACAACCATAGGAATGTAGAATTCCCTCCACTGGCTCAGGACTGTAAATAGGATATGAGTACCACCTTAATGTGCATTTGAGCAGCCGGTTTTAACTTTTGACTCAAAAGTACTCGATTAATTCCAGAGAATATGATCTCCTGTTACTCACCCGCCTGGATGTAGCGTTCTAGCAGCTCTCTCCGTTGTTCCACCTGGGCAGAGCTTAGTGGCAGTAGTCGCTTAGGGGGGAACATCTGCCCCACTCCACCTCCTGAACACCTCTTCAGCTGAACACATCACCAGCATAATAATTTAAATGTTTAACAAGAACAGATTTCACTCACTTTTAGACATAGATAACAACTCAGAGGCAGAAGGAACCAAAGACGAGCAGGAAGACAGCCACATGATCAGCTGGCACCAACAAATGCCCAAGCCTTGCGATCCTCTACATATTCAGGTGTTATCAACCATGTGGGAGAAAACCAGGGCACCCGGAGAAAACCCACGCATGCAAGGGGGAAACACTCTATTCCATACAGAAGGATCAAGTGGTATCCACATTTTTGCTGGACTGCCAATGACTCAATAATTTTATGTAAATGTTTTTCTAAATTTGCTACCATCAGTGGTGAACGTGGTATGTGCTTCACATTTCCAGTTTTTACCCCCTCATACATGGAACCCTAGTCAGTAACTGCTGCCTTCCTTGTCATACACGAAAACGCGACTCCCGTACAGCCTTTAACAGACTGTTGGAGCATGTGCTGTGAGTGAGCCTCGATGAAGGTCGGGTTGGCACACGAGGGGGTGGGTGGCATTCACCAAGGCCTGGTCACCTTTTACACATCGCACCAGTTACTCATCTGAGGCTGAGTCGACCTAGGGGAGGCTCAGAACTGGTTCAGATATATCACTGGTGTTGGCCATGAGTGGGAATCCAACTCTGGTTGCTGGGTTCATAACAACGACTGCACTTCCTCTTCCCACATACAAACCAACATAATTACACACTCTCGTGTAAAAGCCAGGAGAGGGGCCATTTTACACTGCTAGAGTGACACTTCACACGCTGAATAGATTGTGTGCAATTGTTGATGTCTTGTCAACTGCAGCCTCACCACTACCACTGTGTGCACCGCATATCTACCCATGATATCTCCATGCCTCACCTGCTCATGCAGGCCGTGCATTTGGCTGTAGCGCACGCGGCAGTGTAATGCGCCATTCACGTGGATGTTGTAAGTCTGAAAGCACGCACGTACAAACAGGAATCAAGGACAATAGTCTGGTCACGTGCCATTTAAATTACCGCAAATAAAATACTTTTGGGAAAAAAACTCACCACAGATTCAACTGATCACATCGGATCACATTGCCTTGTTGGAAAATATCTCTCTGATTTGGTTATTGATGAACACATTCCAATATCTCCATCATCAACAATGGACAAATTACCAAGGCGATGGGTTTCGGCCACTTCGCTAAGATTTCTATCTGGTTCAAACCATCTTTTGTGGAATTTGGCATAAAACCATCACCATCAAACCCAACATTTCATAACATCCATTGTAACATAACTATTCACCATACAACTTAACGTTAAAGAAGCAAGCCATAGACCCGCACTGATTATTGTGTTAACCTCACTGCAACAGGGATACCCATAATGCAACGTATCAGTACATTTTATAAACTATACAGTGAAACCTTGGATTACGAGCATAATTCGATCCGGAAACGTGCTCGTAATCCAAAGCACTCGTATATCAAAGCAGAAACTCAGATGATTCGTTCCACAACCCAAAAATACTGTATTCATTAAAAATTATTAATACAAAATACCTTTTTATATTTTTATTATTCAAATTTAATATAACGTAATCAAATTTATTAATTACATTTAATCGTGGCTGGTGTGAGGGAGACGAGAGAGAGGAGAGGAGGAGGAGGGTAATTGTGTAGGACGACTTTCACTTGCAGTACAGTTACTAAAGAACAGTCACTACACTTGGACACAAAATAAAAAAATGCTTTACACACACACGTGGTCACAACACTATACTGTAGTAAACAGTATATGCTCGCACAGATGTTGACTATACGAGTGAGGCATGCTGACTGAAACCGAGCATGGGAGATGATTACCCACAATCCCGCAGCGAGAGAGAGAACCATTGGCTCAGTTGTGATCACGTGACGCTCGGCAGACAAAGCATATACTGTACGTGCTGCTCGTATTGCAAGACATCGCTCGTTTATCAAATGATTATTTATTTAAAAAATTTGCTCGTCTTGCAAAACACTCGCAGACCAAGTTACTCGCAATCCAAGGTTTCACTGTACTTCGTATACAGATGTTTATGCATTAATACATTTGTAGTGACAAATGGTGTCAAATAGTGTGGCGACAGTATCGAGTGAAGATTGGTACTGTATGTGCGAAGCCTCTCTCTCGCACCAGATTGAGTATGCCATGGAAGGGCTCAATAGAGGGCATAGTCCCGGTGACAGTGAGAGAGAGAGATCGGGTGAGGACATAACAGTCTGGGTGAACCCGAGAGGGCAAGTGACCGGACGAGGTGGTAACGAGGGTCAAAGAGGAGGTGAGTGGGACACGTGATGTGGGCCCCGAGTCTACGAGAAGGATCTGGAAAGGGGCGTGGACAAGGGTGGAGCCTGGCCACGCCGCAACCCATAAAGGCCGAGTCCCGAGAGTGATCATGGCTGTTCATCTCTGAGAAGAAATCCTGTCTTCGATCCTGGGTCCTCGGTCTCCGGTCTTCACACACGTGGACCAGGCAACGTGTTAGCTGTCCTGGTCCGATTTAGTAGTTATTCCGTCCAGTGTGTACATAGTCAGCCGTGGTGGTCACCACCCACGGCTGGTCACCACCCACGGCTGACTATGTACACACTGGACGGAATAACTACTAAATCGGACCAGGACAGCTAACACGTTGCCTGGTCCTGTTAATGTTAATAGTCACCCTGTCGTCTTAGTTAATAAACGTGTTGCCTCCAAGATCAAGTGGGCGCCTTTGCTATTGATGCCCCCAGGGTCTGGAATGCTATTGCCAATAAACTGCAACTTGAATCACTACCTATGAGATCTTCACTCAAAACTGCTCTAGAGGAGTTGTACACCCCTAGCTGCCACTGCCATTCAGTGGCCTAAAATAAAATAAAATGTTTCGCTCCGGATGACCGCTGCAAAGTATTATCTGTATTTTGATTTAGTGTGCTGATCTTAACGGTGCATTGAAAAATGTGATACTCCGACTGATGCTCCTGTTGTTTGTGGAGTGACTCATGCAGCCGGCTGTGGCTCTAGGGTTTGGTGTTACATGTTTATGTAGTTTATTGTCAAAAATTCGGTCACAGTTCCTATGATCACTGTTACATTGCATTTATGGTTTTATTTTGGTGATTTCTGAAAGTTTTTTTGGTTTGGCCATGTTTTTGTTTATTGTAGTACGGAGTTAGACTGATGGCCTTAATCTAAGTTTTCTTGTTATTGTTGTTGTTAGACTTGCATCCCACTGGGATTCTTGCACACAGCGTTGGTGTACGGTGCTATTTCAGGAATATTTTGATGTTTTTTCCTGGATTTTCTGTTTGCACATGCACAAAGTCACTTTAAGATGTTTTCTTGTTCGTGTTTTTGTTTTTTTGTTTGTTGCGGTTGCACCCGATTCAAGAGCCGAATGGCTATGCAACTAAACTATGAAATGAATTGAACCCACTACACTTATTGTAATTAAAGGGGTTGTCTGTTACTCGCTATCTATGAATAGTTAACTACTAATGTGCCAATCTAAAGGCTTCATTACGAGGAAATATATTATTATCCAGGCCCCATTGTGTGATCTCCGACTCTTACCCACTTTATTTTCTCTGCCCTCTCGATTCATCTGATGTTAAGGTCCATTGGCAGAAACGGCACCAAATTTATATTTTCGTTGTATATGCTGTACCGTAGTGTTGTCGAGTTGCTGTACTGTCATCTCCTGGCACACTTAGCCGACAATACATGCGATTGCATTTATGTTGAACTTCTTTCACACTGTACGTAGCCAAGTAGCCTCCATTCCAGCACTGAGTAAGCTCAACCCCTAAATTAATGTTTGTTTCAACATCGTTTATACGTTTACTCTCAGTAAAGATGATGTCCCGTCGCATCGCACCCTCATCGAGACAAACTAAACGAATGAGAAACTCCGCCTCACGTATAATCTCCACGGGAATATGGAAATGGTACATTCCGATATAAACACTGCAGTGAGCAGTGCAGACACAAGCACCATGTGTTCACCATGTCACACATCGTAACAAATGTCTGACCCCCCCTAGGTGGGTGACGTCATTTATGGACGGCCCCTTGGGCTATGTGATGTCAGCATTCAGTTGCCATCCAGGTGGTGGGATACTAACTTAAAAGTGCAGCTACGGGGATAAAACAGAGTCGGGGAAGAAATCCCTCGACATGATCACCGCCATCGAAGGGGACCGCTACCGACCCCGCTCACCACGAAGCGCGCCGCCTCGCCCGCCCACTCCTCCGTGTCGGGGATGGAGAAGTGCATGGCGGCGGCGGCGCCTCCCCAGTCGGTCCCAAGTGCTGAAGCTGCACCTCACTGTCTCCGCTGGGCCATCGCGCGCCCCGATCTGTGCAGCCACAGCAAGAAGGGGCGAGGGAGTGAGCAGGAGGTGGTGAGGGCGCCATGACGGGGGTGGTTCCACACGTGCGGAGTTGGTTGGTTCATGAGGTGATTAGGTGGTGATGATGAGATTCGGTGATTATGCGGTCGCGATGACATGATGCAAGTTGATTATGATGTCAGGTGATGTTGAGGTGTGGTGAGGTGACGATGGTGAGGTGATTAGGAGGATGAGGTGATGGTGAGGTGATTATAATCGGAATGTGAAGTGATGTTGAGGTGTGATAAGGTGATGGTGAGGTGATTATAATGATGTTGCAGTGTGATAGTTAATTTCGCTTATCTGCGTCGCCCCGTTGGGTACCTCTGAGGTTGAGAGGAGGTTGAAGCAGACGAGGTTCAAACAGAGACGATGTTGCTACTAAGGCAGAGACGTAGAAACAGAGACGAGGTTGAGACAGAGACGAGGTTGACACGGACAAGGCCGCGCGGACTTTGCTCTGCACTTTAGCGGGAGGAGCCGGAGGAAGCGACGGCAAGGGTAGCGGTGCAGGAGGAACCAGGGAACGGGGCTGGCGGAGCGGGGGAGCTGGAAAGGGGATCTGCTGGACAGGACACGGGGCTGGAGGAGCTGGGAAGGAGATCTGGTGGACAGAACACGGGGCTGGGAGGAGCTGGGAAGGGAATCTGCTGGACACGACACGGGAGTGCCCGCGCCGGAGCGAGGGGAGAATGCGCGGCGCACGAAGATCCCCGGGCCCCGTGGGCGGGGCTACTGCTGTTGCAGTCAGCGGCCCACGTGACGTGGGGTGGGATTTAACAGCGCGGGGTGGGGGTGATGGTGGGGGAGGGGGGAGTCGAGGCTGGCCATGGGGCCCGAGGTAAACAGGCAGCGGTTTCTTGCACGGATCCCGCAGCATTCCTATGCAGGGGGGGCAGGCTTTCCAAAGAACCACGATTGACTTCCCAAAACTGAAACTAATTGTATGACATCCAAACAGGATTTTAACTAATAAATCCTCCAATGGCGAGTCACTCGCACAAGCGGTAGAGGCGCAAGTGGTAGACTGGGAAGAGGCAGGGGAGAGGTTGGCTTAGAGGTAGGGTTGAAAGGTCAGGATGAGGTTAGTGATACGGGGACAGATAGGACGAGAGGTAGGATTATAGTCAGAGGTGTAACTATAACATATGTTTATGAGAAGAGGTAGGGCTTGGGTAGATGTAGGACTTAAATTCTTAAGTTTAGGCTTCGTTGCGAGTCTTATGGGACTCGGGTATTAGGCGACTGCTGTGGGTTTGGCCCGACTATTCAGGCTCGTGATATTTTCTCGTATTTTCTGTAAAGATGTCATGAAACCAAATCACATTTCAATTCCACGTGGAGGATTGGCGCTTAAACGCAATAAAGTACAAACTACAGTATTGCAGCCGTCCTTACAACACACGTCACTCGGTTTTATTTACTAACGTTCCATATTTAAACCCAGAATATCACAATTAACTTTACCATCTACATTGCGATTTGTAATACTTTCAACTCGTAGCGCGCCACCTCGTAGCGCACCACCGCAGTATTCCGACTCGAACAAGTGGGAAGGCAGCTGGAATGCGTTGAGCTGGTGCCAATCGCCCAAGCTCTGCTGCTCTCTATATGAAGCTGCGATAAGCCAATTAATATTTAAGTGTGGGAAGGGGGGGGAATTGGAGCATCCAGATAAAACCCGTGTGCGTCGGGGAATCATCCCGTACAGAATGGGAGTACCGCATTATCCTGCCAAGCCAGGGTATGGACCTTCACTGCCCACGGTAAAGGAATTCACGTTTGTGCGATCCAACCCTCACTGCCTCTCGTGGATTACAGGCATACACCACCATCTGGCTAAAGGAACCCTGGCGTGTACAATACACATTTATCAGGAATTCTTCACCAGAACCCATTGTGGTCATTTATCACTTATTTTACACCGGAGCCAACCGTGCAAATCGGAGGTGCGGGGGAAGGATAACTAAACACAAAAAGCAGATCTAAACACTTAATGCTCAAATTTTAAAACAAAGCTGCACAAACTGTAGATTACCAAATGAACGACTTTTTTTTATAAGTGCAACTAAATGAAAATGTTGAAAAGCACACTTGGTTTTACTAAATATGTAAATGCAACCCTATCTCAAAGCTTGGGAGCGATTGAACGGTGCACATACCTTTATCAATTATTGTATTTTCAGCTCAATTCGGTGTCCATTTTTTAACAGAGTAAATGGTGCACGACCTCCATTGCATAATCGACCATGGAGATATTTCAGAATTGCACATTACTGCTCAAATGACTTTCAATTATCTTCAAAGTCTTGGCCAGCATGCTGGACTATTTTTCCTTTCCAGTCAGGGTGTATACATTAATTCCCTCAGCCATTCGATAAATTGTCACTGCCTCCATCAATATCATGATGCTAGAACCCCTAATGACTACAACAACAGTAGTCACATTACTAATAACTACATGCATTCCAATCGAAAAACATTGATTCTTATGCATGTGGTTTGATGTGCATGATGCGAGCTTACAAATCACAATTAATCAGTCATGCATCCTGGCACCTCTCCAGCCACAATACGTTTCGATGTTAAGACTTGTGGCATGTACACTTTTGAAATGTTGACTGCAGGGTCTCTCACATCAAAGGCACAATACTTAATAAAAATGCAAGACTCAAGAATATGTTGTGTGTGTTTATTGAATTTAGTACAATGAGGATCCGGTGAGGGATCTTCACTTTCCAGGCAAGATCACTCCATCGTACTGTAAAAAGAAACAAGAGGACACAGATTAGCATGTCAACAGATGTCAGTATGGAGTTGGCAAGTCCGTCCCGTGGTCACCCTCCAAATTTATAAAAATGTGTTTAGATTATTTGACTTTTACTATGAATCCCCACACAATAAACCACTTTGATGAGCTATGTGGCCAGGTTACCTCAGCAAAATAGCTTAGTAGGCTTTACATGTTAAATAAAAAGGAAAGCAGCAATCATAGAATTGGCAATGAAGTAGCAAAAACAGTGTACCTTCTTACCCTTTGGTTTTTTCAGTTAAGTCACGTAGGTTAAATGAAAACTAAATTAAATCACGACGTTTCGGAGGCAACACAAGCTTCCGTCTTCAGATGGAAACCGTCACAGTAAAATTGCTGCATCTCACTTGATAAAATTGCTGCATCTCACTTGATAAAATTGCTGTATCTCACTTGATAAAATTGCTGTATCTCACTTGATAAAATTGCTTTATCTCACTTGATAAAATTGCTGTATCTCACTTGATAAAATTGCCATATCAAGTTATTTGCTGACGGTTTCCACCTGAAGACGGAAGCTTGTGTTGCCTCCAAAACGTCGTGATTTAATTTATTTTACCTACGTGACTTTACCGAAAAAACCAAAGAGTATAAATCCTTGCAGTCACGAAAGCTTCAAATTTAGTGTACCTTCTGCTGGAACCAACGAATGGCTTCCTCCTTGAAGATGCGATGCTTGAATCCAATACGACCACGCTTACGTTTTTTGTCAGCAATGCAGAATCCAGGTCGGCCCAGCACCTGGAAACCCAATAATCACGAGTAAACGTCTACAAAAGCACTGATTGAGAGATGCACGAATACCATGAAGAGCAAGATTCAAGACAAATTCTACCACAACTTTCATAAAATATACACCACTAAGTCCAAAGCAATGTATTGTTTGCATGCCATGTGCCACCAATTATCTTGGGGGAAAGAACCTCCATCAAGACAATGCAACACTGCAGCACTTATACACCACATGCATGTGTGGTGTACAATGCTTCAGGGTGCACATAACACTTGTCAGAGAATGTGCCAATGCATGCAAACACGTACAACAAAAAGGCATTACAATTAAACATGTGGACAAGACAAACAAGCAAACCTATACATGTACACCGATACACATAATGCATGTCCAGACATGCAAGACAAAAGGGCTGCAATGTTAATTTGGACAGTCTCAATCATTAATATCAACCATTGTACAGACTGCTGGGCGAAAGATTTCCCAAGATGCTATGATCCATCTTACGCCTGCATATTAACTGATCTCATCACTCCACCTTCATGGTGGTCATCCTCTTGGGCCCTTTTACAATTTTGGCTACCATTCCATCACCAGCCTGATCCATTCTAGCAATGTCCTGCCCAAGCGCCACTTGCTGAACAATTAAGTCTGATATGTATTTATTCCCAGATTCTCCATGCATTTGTCTCTGCAATACCACTCATTCATATCCACTTCTCAGGTTTTGTTATATTTATATTTCAATATGCACCTATGGAAAGATTTTATCTTGGGGCATATTGCTTTTCGTGACAAAATGCCATTATCTGAAAGCACATTTATTTAATAATTTTGATCGCAATGCGTCAATAATTGCCCTAGTTTATATTTTATACTGCGTTTATGCACATTTCCATTTTTTTATTTTGCAAGTACTTAACACGAAATTAATTTGTTCCTATTTATCTAAAGTCCAACTTTTCAGCCTTTTTTCGAGTTATTCCCTTATTTCCCTTGGTATAAAGTAATTACATTTAACTTTGGGCCTCCAAATGAACACAAAGCTCACTTTTATTACTTATGCCATTGCATCTATATTGTAAAGCAGAAAGACGTCTTATGAAGCCAGACCCCTGTGGATTTAAGAACTTCACCACCGACACACGGTGGTCAAGGTGAAATTCATACATTCTGGAATGGAGATTCTACTCCTCCCTAGATAAATCATTACATTGCTTGGACAGCTCACTGCTATCCACGAACTGCCCAGGGTCAAGGGGAGCCTACAAGCCGTCGTTGGAAGGATAGCGGCAACTGAATACAAATATGCATAGTTCTCAATAAATGTGCATAACGATTCCCAATGAAATGGTGCACCTTAATTCCCTTGTCTATAATTTGTGATGACAAAAACAACTTTATACATAAATTAGGCTGCACTCTGAACAAATGTTTCTAAAAAGCCATTGCCACTTGAGACAGCCCATAAGTTTATGTAACCTATATTCAAAAGGAACTTTGTAAAACCCATGCCGACAAACAAATGGCCATAATCCTATTGCTCGTATATTTTAGATTTGGCCGACATCGATATGCAGCAACTTTAAATTAAACGGTATCTTTACTGTTCACACTGCAGTGGAGAGTGCACACCAGCATGTCTTCTGAAATTACTCTTCAGTGGTGGCAATTATAGCCCTCATACACTGGATCTGCACCAATCACTGCTGATCATCTTTACAGACATGTTTTATTATTTAATTTGAAAAAATTCTGGTATTAATATAGAACACTTAACAAATAACTATTGCTCCCAGTCTCAGCAACCATTACAAAAATATATATAATCACAATGCACTTAAACATAAGTATTTTTAAATGAAATATTTAACTTTGTTTGAGAACAAACGTGGATTTGTAACAAACATGTCAAGGTTTTGGGCAAGGGCCCTTTTCAAAGTATGGATTCTCTTCTACAATTGGTATGAGACTGTGGCACCGAATAGTTTTAGATTTTATCCTGCTGCACATTGCAGCAGGAAAAACATCTAAAACACATGATACTATAACTGAAGCACAATGGGAAACAAAAGTTAAAAGGCAGATGAAACCATTAAAGGTGCATATGGAATTAACTGTTAGTTGAGTTGGTTTGAACAATGAGAAGTGTGGTGAAATTACTCAAAACGGAGGGTTTGTTTTGCACGTCGCTCACCACATAGAA